TTATGTTGTTTCAGGTGGAGTTTTCTTGAGCAGTAAGTTATGATACATTCCAGTTTGATAACCAATTTAGGCACAAGTCGTTGTTTCCAGGCAATTACAGATCACAGAGATTCCAGCTCAAGAGCATGAAGTGATAAACTGGCAGAGTACTCACTGCAAGCTTACAGATAGGTCAGAATTATGTGTAAAATGGAAAAAAAGAAAGTCACAAGAAAGACAGGGTCTTAGGAAAAATATGTTGCCCACGTAATAACAAGGGGAATAATTTAAACTGCCCTTCCCTTAGGCTGTGATAAGTCTCAGAGTGCATGTGACTAGCAGAAAAATTAGTAGCAAAACCTATGCATGCTTCCAAATTAAAGGAAACTGATGCTTCAAAGCAAGAATTTACTGAGTTATAATGTATTTATAAACTCACTTGATTCACCATTACTAACTGTTAGTAAATCTAACTAGCAAGTAAATGTTCAGGAAAGATAATTTCAGAGCTGTGAAGACTTACAAAAGCACTTAGTCCTAAGTCAATTTTAAGCTGAAGATGCTGAAAGAAAAGATGCACTGACAACAAAAACAAGATCACTGTTGTTTTGTTGGTTTGTTTGTTGAGGGGTTTATTTTTTTGAGCATCTATATGTCTCTAGGCTTCCCCCCACTAGGAAAATTCTGATTCTTTTCCTCCTGGTGTTCCAGAATACTCAAGGAAGCCCATAAGATTTAGAGGAGGTGCAGAAAATAAACATGCAGAGCACCATCTAACAATGAGCAAATAATTGATCCTGCAGTGTTCATAGCTGCCAAACATCTACCCCTGAGAAGTGTTACAGCTGCACATCCACACACCTTTGTGCCTGATGTCTTGTAGGGGCTTATCCCCTGGAGGATGAGGAGCAGAGAGGAGCTGTGCATGGAGCTAGTTTTAGAAGTACTGTGGTCTGGCTTTCTTGGCACACTCCTTAGGGGCAGAAAATGAGTTGTAAATGAGATCAGGCTATTTATACTTGATGTAAATTTCAGGAAGTTAAGTAGGGAAGCAGATTAATGTTGTTCTTGACCTGAATATGTTTACCCCATCATTAACAGGGCTTCAGATATGAAAGATGAAAGAGTTTTTTTGTAGGATGTGTAGAAAATGGGTTAAGATGCTATAATTTAGTGGTGAGCAAACACATTCTTTTTAACAAATCAAATACTTTCCAATCTTTTCACAAAATTAAGAAGTCTAACAAGTTCCACAATAGTCTATGTTTCATGATGAAATCAGAAAAAGTTTTGAGGTTGCCTGGAAAACAAGACATGCTCTTTCCATCATATTTAACAGCTACCAAGTGAGGAAAAGATGTTACTTGTTAAGTGACCTCACAAAAGGTGGTATCCAAAGTGTGCATGTGCATTTACTAGTGATTTTTTTTACCTTTCTGACAACAAATTCCAGGATTCTTTTATTTATCTGTGAATTTTTACATCTAAAACGTGTGATTTCTCTAATAGCCCTTCCTCCCTTTTCTGTTTCCAGAGTCAAGATGACAGATTTGCTTTCACTGCTGAATGGTATGACTCAAATGCTTCACTCTTTCGGCGTTATGAACTTCTCTATTATCCAAAAGATGGATCAGTTGAAATGGTAAGAACAAAAGAAAAAAAGAAACAGTTTGTAAAAAGGCAAGCCACTGCCTGTGCCTATTAATATTCCAGGTAAAGAAAATGTAATTTAAGGTGTATCTTGCTCTGTTTCTAAACCTAAAAGAAAAGCAAAAATACAAGTTCCCAGTGAAGTATGTGGATGAACTTTCCTATTTATTATTTTTAAGTTTTTTTTCTTAAAGCTTGGTGTGGAGAGATTCATTTTCACAAATCTGCTTTCATTCAATCTCTACTTGAGTTTCAGAATTGTAATTCAGCAACACTGACCTACTACTTGAGAAACAAAAATGGAAGCTGATTCCAAACAAGGGATTAAGCTTCATCAAGCATTCCAGAACTCTCTGAAGAGTAAAATGTAAGAGAGTCTTATCAAAGTAGAGGAAATGGTAAATTGCTCTTTATTTGGTGTCAATGAAAGGAAGGATGTTTCATTGAGATCTAAATTTTTCCACCAGTGGTGCTTGCACAGACCTTTCTGACTCATGGTTCATATGACCAATCCCCACTGTTTATTGATCACTGGTTAAAAGAAGCATTTTACAGCAGCAGGCATAGAGATATATAAATGTAATATGTGATGTAAAGGTAAACCAAATAAACCAACAACTGCCTTGTGCCTCCTTTTAGGAATGAGTGGCTTGGATTAGTCTTTTCTGATTTTTCATGAAAACCTAAGGCTCTGAGAATACCATAGATTTGGATGTTCATCATTTCTTTATTAAATATTAGTGTTCCTGCTCTAAATACCAAATGCAGAAATAAGAAAACAAGTTGAATCTGCCTTTTCTTCCCCAAACTGCTGCTCCTTTAAACCATGGTGTGAGGAGATGCCCTTTTTACTTTTTACTGATCATCTCTTCAAACAAACTCTCTCATGATGTTGTCCTTTGCAAGTCACTTCTATTCTATGATGCCTGTGTGTGCAGAGGTGTCAAAATGTGAGGAGTTTTAGGTTTTCTTTCCCAGAGAGAGTTTAGCTAATCAGCCAGGAGCCATAATAATCTTCCTACACAACCACGTGTAGGCTGGCAGAGTTGTTGTTCATTTCACCTAGATGGCTCAAACCCAAGAGGTGTTTCTTGAGCTTCTTGATGCCTTCAGCATCAAATACCTGTGGCTGAGCAGACTTTTGCATTTTGCTGTTGTGTTCTTAGGTTAATTAGCATGGTTTGTACACAGTCATGAGTGTATATGGACTCTCTGTGTGACACCTCTTTAGGAAAAACATCTCAAAATCACTTCTGGGGGTGAGTTTGTGAACAGAGATTAAATTTAGAATTCTCTTCTGGATTTTGTTTTTTTTTAATTTCCACAGAATTTGGTGATTTTTTTTTTTTTTTCCCTGCTTAATTCTCTGCATCTTTTAGTATCTTTCTGAGGAGTTGACAGCCCATTCTTACATCTAACATATCTGAGGAGAAGGGAGGTGATGGATATGAGTCAGCTTCTCCCTGTTTATGATTAAGGTGTTTCATCCCCTTTCCCACCTTCCTGACAATAGCTATCACTATATTAACTCAGCTGAGAGTGGAGCTGAGTTGTTGAAGGCTTGTGTCATGTTAAGTCTTCAGCTTTCCTTTTCTTTCTGTTCTTCATGTCTTGGTTCCTGTGAAGAAAAATGACAGTGGGAATAATGAGGCAAATTTCCACCTTGCTTTGCAGCTGGAAGAAGACAACACAGTTTTTTTTTGTCTAAGGACTGCAAGCAGCTCTATGATCAAACTGGAACTCTTGACAAAGACATGCCCCATACTCTGAATTTTCCATAGTAACTCTCATGGGAACTTCTTAAAGCCTGAACAACTTTTCTTTTTACAGGAGAATTCCTAAAAAGAGAGAAGAAATCTTTAAGAAGGACAGATTCTTAGCAGAGAACTATTTTAGTTTGGGTAATTTACTTCTAAATGTATATGGGCAGGATGGGAACAGTCAAAATAATCTTTCATTTCTTCTGTTGTGTATTACCAGTCACTTTATAAAAAGGTCTTTTAAACAGATCCAAAATTCCCCTCTAAAGAAGAATTCCTTAACACAGGTGGATGCCTTTTCTGCTTGGGAAGAGAGAAGCAATATGGGGTGCCTTTCTAGGAACTGTTAGTAAAATAACCACAAAAAAGTTCATATTTTTAGTTAAGATATTGAAATATTTGAATATAGTCAAGACATTTACTAGACCTCCTGGTAAAGTCCAGGAAAAAACAAGAAACTGAATTCAAGTGGGTTTTTTTTTCAGCATGTTGTCATTTCATTCCCTACCATGCTTGAGTAGAGGACACTTAGGAGCACGTGTGAGGGACTGAAGACATCTCAGCAAGGAAGGTTCATTCCTTACAATCCTGCCTCAGCAGAATGAAGTGTCAATATAATTTCTATTCTCTGACCAGCAAAGTTTTGTCTCTTCTGGAAAAACTGAAAATTCTTTGAGCCCTCTAAGAGGACAGAAAGTATGCACACATTTCAGAACATGGAGGAGAATGTAACTTTGCTTTTCCTCCTTTTTCCCTCCAAAATTTGCAGGAATGATCTTTCTTTTAATGCTACTCTAGTGTATATTCCACTGCAATGGAGGGCAGTACATGAAATTCAAGACAGAGAAGGGGAGGTTTGGGCTGAGGAGGAGAAAACCTCTTCTTTTTATAGGATTCTGCTCCCTCAGGAAACTGAAGGCATCTGTAGTATCTCCATGCAGTGAAGAAACTCTTCAGCAGGTTGCCTTTTGTGCTTTGCCAGCCCACCCAGAAAACTACACATTAACATCTTGCTGCTTGCTTGGAAGGATGATCTGTAGCTGAATTGTCTTGACAGTTTGGAGCTCTAGGCAGTGAGAACATCTCAACCTAGTGTTGCAACCATCCATCCATCCCTAATCCTGAGTTCTATGCAGTCAAATAAAGCACAGTATCACTGGAACAATGCCCTGAGAAGGAGATCTGCTGCAGTGTGTGTCTGGATTGTTCCTGGAGTGAGCCATGGCTCTGTGAAACAGCACAGACCTGGGGGGGGCTCAGTGGGACAGGACAGAGGTATCCACCAGGCCTCTGAAACGTTTCTCACAGCTTGAGTGAGCACAAGCAAATGATAGAATAAAAAATGCCAAGGCAGCTGTCAGCTTTATTTAAATGGAATAAAATTGTAATTGTGGTTTAGTCTCCCTGGTCCACCTCGAAGTTCAAAGGAATTAAAACAATTAAGTGATGAGATTCCACCCCACAGTCTCAGGGAAACTTCTGAAGGTCCGGTTGAAACGAGGTTGATTTCTCCCCCAGCTAAAACTCTTGCTGGGGTGGATTTGAAACCCCTTTTCTCTGCAGTACGACGTGAAGAACCGTCGGACCTTTCTGAAGCGCACCAAGTACGAGCCCTTACACCTGGAGGACTTGTTTGTGGGCAACAAGATCACTGTTTTTGCCCGTCACCTCTCCTTGGTGGACTACGGGGATCAATACACAGCCCGCAAGCTGGGGAGCCGCAAAGAGAGGTAAGAAAGCAGCTTGGAGGAGATCTGTGCCTGTGCTTGAGGTTCCCAAGTGGCCCCTGCTTGGGGAGAAGTGTTTCCAAGAGTGTTTTCACTCCCATTCTCTGTTGGTTTTCCCACTATGGAGCATTTTTTTCTGAGAGGAGTTTTTTTTCTGAGAGTCTCCTAAACTCTGAGAGGAGTTTTTTTCTGAGAGTCTCCTAGACTCTGTGTGCAATGAAGATAAGACTCACCATCTCTTGGTGGTTGAAAGGCTTTGGAAAAGGCTTTAAGAGCCCATTCAAGAACAAAAGGATGATCTTTCAGGTCCTTTCCAACCCCTAACATTCTGTGATTCTGTGAAAAGTATGAAGAGAGGCTTAAAATGACAATAAATTTAATTTACAAGGGATTTAAATCTGATCTGACTGCAGCTCAGGTAATCTCTGAATTTGCAAATGAATAAATTTTGGCAATTTGCTCCAGCTTTTCTTGAGAAGAGCACAGAATATTTTCTTAGGTAGGATGTTCCAGTGAGCCCTATTCACCTACTTTCTTGCTTCCTCCCAGGAACTGGTATTATTTTGAACTCTTTTTGGAGAGTTGTACATAACCAGACATACAAGAAGAGCTGCAAGTTTTAGCACACACCTTTTTCTAAAGCTCAGAAAAACATTGCTGTGGAAATGACTGTCATAATCTTTCCAGAAATAGTTCTCTTGGTACTTTTTCTCCAAGCTGGGGTTGGACATGATGGAAGAGTAGCAAAGGTGAACACCAGAGGACAGCTTCTGTATATGTGGCTACTCTCTCTGTTCCTCAGTGGAGCCTTGGGTAGATTACATCTGTCTTGTTTATAGGTTTTATAGCAATGTAACCTTTTATAGTTGTGTATTTCCTACTCTACCTAAACCAGCATAAGCCCTGGTGCTGATGGAGTTACACTTAGAAAGGGCAGCTTGTGGTAAAATGACATTTTCTTCTTCATTTAAGGGAAATGACCCTCTGTGCAGCAACACTATAGTTGTGTCCATGAAGTGGTCCTGGGAGGGGGTGAATTTTTTTGTGCAGCTCTACAAAAGGAAGGAAGGGAATTTACAACAGGTCAGCTGTTTGGAAAACATTTTAGGAATGTTGTTTGAAAGATAACATAGATATGCAAGTGGTGTTACATATTCAGAATAGCCCAAAGGAACATAGTGAAAGGTGTCTTAAACATGAAAGAGATCCTCAAAATCCAGTTTCTTCACTAAAGCTTTCCCTGGGTAAACAGAGTCATATTAAGAGTTCCTTGGGCAAAACAGTTGCCTAGGAGGTATTTGTCTTTTTGGTCTTTTCCTAGAAGGTTTTACAGCAGTTATTGGTTAGATAATTCCTAAAATAATCTGTAGTTGGAATTCTAGTAATAATTTTAGGGCTGTTGTATGAGACAGAGTATTTCCCTGTCTTTTTCTTGCCTTTGTGCTGTACAGGACTGTGAGGAGTTGAGTTTGACTTTGGAAATACATTCTTTGGTCACTGGATAAATATGGAGACAGGCTCCCCTCCCAGTGTGTCATAAGAAAACCATCACAAACTGTCTGCAGTGGTCACTGACACATTCAGTGTTTCTTCCCCTACAAGACAAAAGTTGCTGTACATGCAACAGTCCTATTAATAGAAATAAGTTTATCTCAAAAGCATAGCCACAGCCTGCTCTGTGCACTCCTCCTTTGATCAGCTCCCATCTTCTCTGTCCTAGTATTCATTGCAGTCATGCAGCTCCTCTGAAAATGTAAGCAAATGAGCTTAATTTTCATTCTTTCTCCTGTGTTCCTAGATAGAAAACTGTTCCAAAATGTACTTTGCAGGGTGCATCACGTCAAACCCAAAGAAATATATTCCTAATTAAAACTAAAAATAGGGCACATGAATCAAAATCCAATCTCAGAGACAGTCTCTGGCATCCTGAATTATACTTTCCTTAAACTGCATACCTCTGAGAAGCTCAGGAGTTGAAGTTTATGTATCAGTGTTAGAGAAAAGATGTTGTAAGTGTTGCTCACTGCAGTTTGTATTAAAGTCTTCTAGGTAAATTGCTTCATAACCCACTATTTCATTAGTGATTAGTATTTCACTTATCTCCCTTAGTTTCAAATTAAATGCCACACATTCAAATCTCCCTCTCTGCATTTACTGGTCCTAACACCTCCTTTCCTTGAGATTTGGTGTAAAATAGATAGTCTGTCTTTTCCCAAAGCATTTGAGGTCACTTGAAGGTTCAAAGTAAACACAGTGGAAGTTCATCCATCTCCTGTAACCTCAGCATATTTCCTGGCTAGAATATATTGCTGCTAACCTAAAGGCTGCTTTCCATGCTACACTGGTCCATAAAATGACAAATTTGCAGTTATTTGCCTTTCATTTAGGGAAGTACTGCAGTAAAAAATCTTATCTTGGGGAGCCTTCATTACTGGGAGATGGGGTAAAAGATGGAAAGAGCTCTTTGGGATTGCAGAGACTTGGGTTTGCTGAGATGCAGGGCTGAATAAATCTGTTGATTTGTAAGCTGAGCACATTTGAAGCTGACTCACCACAAGATGAATGCAAATAGAAAAAATGCCATTTTCCAGACCTTGTTATTTTTGATTAATAATGTGTTCAGTGCTGCTGGTGTGCTTGGTGCTATGCAAAGCACACTCATAAAACAGTCTTGGCCTTGGAGATGTCAATATAAAAAGATAATTATCAAGAAGACAGGACGTACTTGGAAACAAAAGATGTGGGGGAGAGTGTAGAGATTTTTGGATTGGTCTCCCTTAGAATATAGCTGTCAGTCAGTGTGAGAGGTGTAGTCCCTCCTCTGCCAACCTTTTATTGTGTCTGTTCACAATGTCAGCCATTTGGCATGCAAACTGTACACCATGAAGTGTTGGTGCTGTACCCAGCATAACAGGACCTTCTTCACTCTTAAGACCTCTAAATATTTTAAAAGGAATAATAAAACAATCATTTCACTTGGAGTTTGATGGAAGAGGCACATGTTGAAGTAGTATTTTTAAACAGAGCATGTTAACAGCCTCATTTATGAGAATTATTATCAGAATCATGTCCTGCACAGGCATTGAAGCTGATGAGACACTTGGGCTAGGATGTTTGTGACAGAATCTCTCTCTCTGATGTGAGTTTTGTTGTCTGAATATAAACTCCACGTGCACACCAAATCCTCTAAGGAAATAGTGTTGGCTTTATCTCCTTTTTTTTTCCTTTTCCTCAGAACTCTGGCTTTGATTAAACCTGACGCCATGCCCAAGATTGGAGAATTAATTGATATCATTATTAATGCAGGATTTACCATAACTAAAGCCAAAATGATGATGCTTTCAAGGTAAGGAATTTTTAAGATTAGCTCTGTTGTATCTACATATTATTTTTGTAGTTCAGAACATCCTTTGAAGCAATCCTGTGTTACTCCACACATCAAATCCATTCCAGGGAGAAACAGAGGGAAGATTCATCAGTGTCATGATCATCTAGTAGTTGGTTTGTTTGCTCTCAATAAATCTATTATCTTAATTTTTGCTCTCAGAACCCAAACTTGTGGGTTTTTTTAATGAAAAAATCATGTTGCAGAGGAAAGAAAACATGATTAATTTACTCTAGCCTGCATTATTTCTCCATTGCTGCTTTGCCAGAGCTGTTCATATACAATGTAGCTTTGAAAAGAAGAACTGTCCTACATAACACCATTCTCATGTGTTCTTAGGGTTTCTGTGTGAGGTCAGGAATAACTTTCCCCTACCTCAAAACCTTTTTAGCTTTCTGAACATAAAACAACTATGTGACATCCTCCTCTTCTCTCTGCATTCACCTGCTGCAACATTTGATGATACCCTTCCCAGGTCCTCTCACAAACAACTTCAGTTTGTGAGCTGTCAGGTTTCTAGTGCTGATTTATAATTCACAGTGTCTTTCATGCCAGCTTCTTTTGGCTTGCTTTCCTGCAGTCTAAGAGATTTGATCCTGAAGTGTTGTGTTGGATGACTCTTTATTTTGGTGTCTGTCTGAGAACTGGCAGAACTGTTAAACCAAGTCACGTGCTTTGGAGTTGATTGAGACCAAAGTGAAGAAACTTTGAGACTTGAACTTTTATGGCTGTATAAAAATTTCTGCTTGTCTTTTATAATTAAAAAAATTACTAAGAAGCACAAGTTTGGGTGCTGGAGTATTTGTGGTTCCTCTGCATGCTCTAGACTCTGTTTCTTGGGACTGTGCCATTTTAAAATGATAGAACTATTGCTGTGCCAGAGTCTTCTACCCTTAGATCTCTGCAGTTATGCTGGTTCAAATGAGCATCATCACCTACTGATTTCTTGAAAGGGATTATGACTGACATTTGTCTGGCAATCACTGTTAAGTAGATTCTTGCCTTCTGTAAAAATTGTAGCTATGAAAGTGAGGACAGGCACCTGCTTTGGTAGGTCAGCTCTCTCTCTTCATTTAATATGTCAGTTCAGCCTCATTTCTTTTTAAGAAATATTAGCTGTATGGGCCATGAAAATAATTTGAATTTTGAATAGCTCATACTTAGACTCAACTGAAAGCAACAAGCCAGGAATTATTCCATGCAGGTTGTCATTCTGATAAAAAAGCTGGAGAAAGCTGTGACTGTTCAAATGTTTGTCAAGGTTAGGAAAATTAGATTCTTCCTAGGTTCTCCTTGAGGTTATTGCTTTCCTCTGGCAATATTTGGCTGAAGTCTGGGCTGCAAATGGAAGAGAGATGTGAAAGTTCCATTGCAGATGACAGAACCATGCCTTTGATCACATTTAGAATCTGTTGTCTGAAGAACATGCAGGTAATTTCTTTCAGTATAGAGAGCTGCTCAAAGTGAGCAAAATCATGGAGATCAGAAAAAAACCCAGAAGCCTGTGGTCTGCAGGTAAGAACAGTTTTCCAAGTGTGAACTGTCAGTCCAAGAAGAGCTTTTCCAAGTGAACTTGTCAGTCCAAGAAGAGCTTGTCCTCCACAAATTCCAGCTTCAGAAGGTGGTACACAGACAGCTTTGCAGCAAGCCAAGACCAGAAACCAGCTCATGCAATATTCTGTTGTGCATCAGTGTAGTCAAACACTGGCCTTGACAAGGAAATAAATTCCAGTGAAGCAGATAAATTGTTTATTTATGCTTTATACCCAAACTTTATTAACCAACATACACACTCAAACTGACATGAGAGATGAAGACAACAGCAAATGGCTTGGGCAAGAAGGTGACTGCTGCATTTATATCTCAATGTGAGAATGTAGGGAGCATCAAGGACCTTGAAAGTCCATCCTAGGGGCTTTCATCCCAGAGCAGGAACATAAGGAGGAGTCAGCTACAAGCTACACTTGTAGCCACATAAAATGTGACAGAAAGTTAAATGCAGTTTCTGGTTCACTGGGTGTGCACACACTACAAGCTGCTCAGCTCAGGAAGACCTTACATGTAGAGCTATGTTGATGAAGGATAGTTTGTGGTTTTCAGGGGGATTTATATATCTGTATCTCTCTATTTATCTCCATATCTATGTCTTTTTACTCTTCCAGAAAAGAAGCAGCTGATTTCTACGTAGACCATCAATCAAAACCATTTTACAGGTAGGGATATCAGTTTCAGTTTGCCATGTTTTAAGCTTATTTACTGAATGTGCAGGATTCATCTACTATATAGTAAATAATACTATTTCATACTGCAGGACCATGGGAAAATCAGAAGTTGTCTCAGCTCAGTGGAGCCCTTTGCAAAGCATGCACCCTGTTTGTCTTCCTCCAGGAACAGAGCCTTAGTTCAGTGATTCAGGGTTTTAACTTGCACTCTTTACAGCCTGCTGATGTCAGGGGAATGCCTTTGGTCTCTCAGAAGTGAAAATGCTCCTGGCAAGGTGAAACTTCAAAGCCAAGGGAAACAGCATTTTTCAGGATGAGGGTGGAGCTTGCAGGTAATGAGAATTAGGGGGGAGCACTTAGCTGTGAGGACTGATTTAACTTCAAACTTCCATGATGCTGGACTGCTCCACCTAACAGAAAGAAACTCAAGCCTGTCCAAAACCTGTGAGGATTGATATGGTAGCAAATAACCCAAATCATAACTAACTGAAAGGATAGTTCATGGAGCAGTTTTTCACTGTACTGCTACCCTTGGACAAAACTTCAAACTTCCATGATGCTGGACTGCTCCACCTAACAGAAAGAAACTCAAATCTGTCCAAAACTGGCCAGTTTGTTGCCTGTGACCAAGTGACTGTGTCATTTTTGTTTTGCCTGAAAGTACCAACAAAGAACTTTCTTTTCCACCTTCTGGATTTGGCAGTCTTCCTCTTTTAGGAAGAGGGTGTAGCTGTGCCTTGTGTTTTTCATCCACCTTGGAGCCTGGGTTTGCATTGACTTGGTCAAAAGACCTTGTTTCAGTACTGCCATGAAGTACTCAGTATCAGGATCTGCCATCTGCTCTCCTGCAACAGCAGCTGATTTATTGTGGGTCCAAACTCAAGCTCTTCACAGAGTCATGGCCCCAGGCTATGTCTGACCATGCTGGAGATCAGAGGAAGCTTCAGAACTGCCTTTTCTTCTGAGTGAGCCTGCTTGAATCTGCTGATAAATAAGCAAGAATTTTGCCTGTTGTCTTATTTGACAGATGCTTATCTACACTAATGGTAATTAGCTGAGGAACTGTAGTCTTTGTCCACTGTGATGTGCCTGTTTCCCATCCTACAGTCCTAGTGGCTACATCTTCTGTGTAGGATTGTTCTGGAAATTAAAACCCCAAAGTTATAAAGAATTACAAATCAAACAGAACAAGAATCTTCAAGGCAGTGAAATGTAAAACCTTTAACTCACTGATATTTAGCATTGAATTACTTGTTTTTAAATTCAGATGTAGTTTGGCACATTCACTAGTCAATGTAAGCAGTGAAGTAGAGAGGAGTCAGGCTGCTCCTCACAATCTCTTCTCCTTCCTCAGATTCATCCCATTAAAATCAGTTGACATCTGCTTACTCCAGGATGTGATAACTCACTTTTTAAAGTCCCCACTCCCTTGTAGACTTGCCAAATCTGGCTTCTCCCTTCTCTCCCTCTTTGGATTTTGGCAAAATCCACAGGAGAGATCCACGGGTCAGTGGAGCAATCCATTCTGACAGCAGGGCTGAAGTTGTGTCAGTGAGGACACACACTTGTGAGAATCCTGAGAGCTTTCTGTGCAGAAGAGACATGCTTGGGAATTGTTCCTGTCAGACAAATGGTTAGCAGGGGCTCTTTGGCTGTTGCCAGTACTGATCTTTTAAAAATTCTTTTGAAACCTGACATCTCCACTGGAGCTTGAGTGAGTTTGTACTATCTGGTTCTTTTTCCACAACCATAATAAGCAGGGAATGTCTGCCCATGACCTAGTCCAACCTCCTCCTCAAAGCAGAGCCAGCTTCAAAGGTAGCTCAGGTTGCTGCAGGCCTGGCTGAGTTAAATTCTGAATATTTCCACTGGATCATAGGTTTGTTGCTGGGTTTAATTTCTAGTGGGGCTCACCCTGTGCTGTTTCCATTTTGCAGTGAGCTTCTCCAGTGTATAACCAGCGGTCCCATTGTTGCTATGGAAATCTTAGGAGATGATGCAGTTTGTAAATGGAAAACATTACTGGGGCCAGCAAACTCTGCTGCAGCTCAGACTGATGCACCAGACAGCATCAGAGCCAACTTTGGACACGATGGGCTAAGAAATGCAGCTCATGGCCCAGATTCAGTTGCTTCAGCTGCTCAAGTAAGTTTTGGTTTATGGACTGAAGTTTCTTTTTACTTTATCTGATAAAGCTGGGCCAGGAATTCCTCATTTTTTTTCTCCATTTGAGTTCAGAACCAGTTGAGGTACTTCATGGATCCTTTTTAGCATGGAAAAATGAACTGTCTGAAAAGAGAAGTCTTGTTTACCTCTGTCACAAAGGGGAACCTGGGTCACTTTGATCAGAGAGCATGCCTGGGCATTTTTAATGTCTCCTGTACCTCACAAACATTGAGTTAATTGCATAGTCTGTGTAATCTTCCTATAGCCTACCAATGTTGGTCATAAAAAGAAAGTGATTAAACATTTAAATCCTTTTATGCCCTCCTGTGTTTTGCTTATCTCTTCTCCTCCACAGGCCTCACTGCTCCTCTGCCTGCAGCCTGCTTTCTTCTGCTGTTGTTGTTCAGAATGAATAATTATGGAAACAGGTCACTTTGCAGTGCTTTGTGTTTGGAGAGGTGATACAGTGGGCTTGGCTTTGAAGAGCTGGGTTCTCTTTTGGGTCATTTGCAGTGTGCCTTTCCTTAGTCCTAAAAAAAAAGCATAGCAAGCTAACTGCAAGGTGTGGGCAGATTTCTGCTGGTCAGGTCCCCATCTCACTTGTCTGCACTGACCCTGGGCTGCTGGGTCCTCTCTGTGTGCCTCTAGTTTTGGCAAGAAACTGTAGGGTGGACCTGAAGTCCTGCTGGCAGACTGGATGAAGGTGGTACAGAGACAGAAACAGTTTGGATGAATTTAGTCTTTTCTGCCTGTAATTCTTCCTCAGAAAAGTCTTTGTAGTTCTGGTTAAATAACTAGATGTTTTCATGTGTAAGGGTGAAAGTTTCTCTTTGTTCCTGGGTACTGCTATGACAACTGTGCCAGCTTTTCAACCAAGAGTGTAGGAGAGAGGATCTATTAGCATAAAATTTTGATTAGAAGCATAAGTATGTGCTTGGGCTTAAGTTTGTTGTTCTTTTTGCATATCATTAGTTTTGAAATGCTGTTTGAAGGCCCCATTTATCTGCAGCATTTTTATGACTGTGGGACTGTTCTGCTGAACTTTTGCAGGTGCATGCTTCTTTGTGGTGTTATTGATACCAATCTTCAATAAATCAACCAACACTGTCAATTTAATACCCCTGAGCCTATTTTAATCTAGGAGGCCCAGTATTATGTAGCTGTATAGCAGTTACCATGGAAATGAGTTGGCTGCACCTTGCTGAAGCTTTGGTGAAAAGAAAGAAACATAAGAAAGATAAAAGGACCTAAATGGACTCTTCTGAAGGAGAACTGAAGTCTCAACCACATTTAGTGCATGTATAGTACACTGAACAGTTAGAGTGGGAAGCTGCATTGTTCTTCTGAGGACTAAATGACAAGTGAAAGTATGTCTGTGGTATACTGGAAGCTGGTGTCTCTCTGCAGGCCAAATTTTGGAATTTCTTTAGAAAAAAAAGGGAAAAGATAGCTAAGTTGATGCCACCTGAATATTATCCTTTCCCTTAAATAGCAATTTATGAGGTCTCTTCCTGAATTTGCCCAATAGGTCTGAAGTGGAATCTGTGTTCTGAGCATTTGACTAACATTAGCTGGCAGATTGTATAACATATGTGAATAAATGGTATGGAAAAATTGTGAAGCTGGCAGTAGACAGTGAAAAAATATCACTAGAGGAAAGAAACCTGGCTGTCAAACTCACTCCAATATGCTCTAAGACCCAAGCTGTATGATACCTGGATGGTGATGGCAGAAGGAAAGGAAATGATCAGAGGCAGAGAGGTTTTTTGGATTCATCCTAGAAATCAGCATGATTTACTTCAGTTCAGTGAGATAAAAAATACAATAACAGGGTCAATAAGCCAACAATTTTAGACACAGTTTTGTTGTGTAGGACAAAAGGAATAAAAAAGGCAAAGAAATGAGGTGGAGGTCAGTTTTGTTTATGGGAAGAAAATGTACTGAGAAATGTTTGGCATTTTAATTTTTGCTTATACAGTGGCAAAGATGATGTGAAAAAGAGGGGAGATCATAGATAGGAGTGGATTTGGGAAAGATACTGAGAGAGAGAGTTCAAAAAACAGGGAACACTTCCACCAAATGATGGTGGCAGCAGCATTTTGAATGCTCTGAATGGAAGTGGATTGCATTGCAGAAGTGAAAAGACACTGCAAGAAATATTCAAATCCTGTTTTTATGATTGTAGCAGTGGTCTCAGAGAGGGAAAGAG